TTTCACAGCGCTTAGACCATCTTGTAACAAAAGTCCGGGTAGCTACCATATATTTTGCGGCCTGATCTGTACTCCTAAGGGTCCAGGATGCTTTGTCAGGGTGTATGCTTTAAACCGTTTTTTATAAATGGCACTCATCGTTAAATTTGCTTAAATATGCAATTACTTTCGCAAAAATAACTAAAACGTTTATTTCTCAAACATGCGACTGAAAAAGGACAACCTACTGATGTATTCAATCTTAAGTCGCATTTATACAAAAGACGTAATTACTGTTCGTTTTTTAGTGAACACACTGTAAAAGAAGAGATGGCGTCCATTTTTTTATTAATGTTCTTCCAGTAAATAAGCTACATATCGAAAGCTCATATTCAATACCGTCTATCTGCAACTTTAACAAAAACTCACTGATGTTGATTCTGACTTTGCAATTGCAGAGTAAATTCTTCTGTCAAGCGTTATACAAGGTCAGCATTAACATTACCGATAATAGTTAAATCTTAGGTGGATTTTTATATCAGAATCTCATTTTTGTGAAAAGTGCAGATAGAGGGTATTGAATATAAGCCCTCGATATGTAAAGCCCAGCCCAGGTAAATTAATCGAGCCTTAACTTTTTCATATCAAATAACGTACATTAAACAAACTTTACCAAATTATAAATTTAAGATATTCCCTTTTCATGCAAAGTACGGATTTTAAAGTTGTAAATATTAAGAAGCTCGTTTAATATAAACATATTTGCAATTGCAAAACATGCTTGGTACTAAAACCTTTATGACCCATTTGCATAAAAGAAAAGCTGTCGTATATAACACACGCAAGCACGATATAAGAAGTCTCACGCACTGCACGCTGCATCTGTTGACCTGTTAAGCACATGAAAGAAAAGAAAAAAAAAAAAGCAAAATGTCCTTTTAAATAAATATTTTGTTATTTTCTGCGTCATCCTGTTTAACGCTTTGTGTGGAAAGTAGGTGACGCGATAGCACATAAAAGGCAATGCGAGGTGTTGCTGTCAACGCGTTTGCCTGGCTGAACGGATTCTGCACATATGTACATATGTACATACATATATACATACATAAATATGTATACACATTTTAATGAATGCAGAAATTTTATAGGGAAAGGAATGACATTTTCGCTTTGGGGCGATATTTGCAACATCTAGACAAGCTGCTTTGCTTTAGTTTCAACTGTATAGTCAAGGAAAATTACTGAATGTAGGAAGGCTGTTATATATTATGTCACCTTAAATGCAAAAACAACGTAACACACATCGTCGCTGAAATGCAAAAAGGCGTAGCTAATGAAAAATTCAAAATTCACTTTTTGATTGATCGCTTTATGAAAAAAAAATATAAAAATTATTTGTCACGACTTTTTACATTTCAGTGATGATGTTTATTACGCCCATTTGCATTTTCGGCGACGATATGTATTTTTTTTATAAAAGTCTAGCTAATTACATAACAAACACCATTTAAATCCACATTTCAAATTTTTACAAAAATTATCAGATTTTGGTATAATAAAGTGCCAGTCTTAAGTGACTAGAAAATAACGTTGATTTTTGGAATTTTTTTGTTTACGGTGTCACGCATTTTTTTCCATATATATAAGTAAAAAAGCCTAGTACCGCCAACAAAAAAAAAACATGAAACTTGCATTTTATTGTACTAAAATTTAATGAAAGGTTTATGAATTCGACTAAAAGTTGCCTCTAAGGTCGTCACGTGTAAACAGCTTTTAATCAAGTTTATAATAAACGAGTTTATAATCAAGAGTGCAAGTTTTTTTTTAACAAAATATCAATTTAGAATTTTTACAATTAGGCATTCCATAACGCCAAAAAATTACTCATCAGTTAAAAATTGAAAGAGCAAAGTGACAGTTCAATGCAAGAGAGACGTTCATTTTGTTCTGGAAAAATGTTTGCCAAAAAAATTTTATCTCACGACAACATAATATGATATATTATGATATATTATATATTATGATTTCGTAAATAAACAAAGTTAAATTTTTGGAATTTTATCGTGTTTTAGTTTCTACAAAAAATGTTACCTTTTCATTTTTTTTACATGCTTTTTGACTGCCTACTATGTGACTTTATGATATCCGCTCACTAATTTTCACTTACAGAAATGTTTCGGCCGAACATTGGACGTCCATTTTCCTGTTTTTCTTTTCGACTTTTCAATAATGCCCGAAGAGGTCGCCTCAATCGGCCTTGTTGAAATGGAATATGCCACTTATAAATTAATGATTTTCTTGGACGAAATTTCACGCAGGCAGATGAAGTCTTTTACATACATTCACATGGGGCCATTCACGTGCGATACCAAAAGGGTTGCTTAAGCAGCTAAAAGGAAATTTTACCCGAGTTGAGCGTTCTTTTGTCGCTTTTTTACCAAAAAAGTTCACCTATAGAAATCATTTAAGCCGGATTCAGAGCGCGCTAAACTAAATAGTCGCGGCGCTCCGTTTGTTCGCACGAATTAAAGCATCATACCGTGATACCAAATTTTTAGAAAATGATTATTAAAACTCGCTATATTTGACGTTTGTGTATCTATCGATTTGAAATAATTCACACAACAAAATACAAAGCTATTCATAAGAATTTAAGTTTAACAACGCTTCTTAATACATACTTACACATTGCAAACAAAACTAAAGGTGTTCAAACGTTTTCTTATGGGAATCGATAGGGTGTTTTGTTTTTTTCAAATGAACAAGTTTTGTTATAAAATTTGAATTTTTTATTTTTGTTTTAAGACAGTTTTGTATACTTGTGTAAATATCTAAGGAAGTTTCAGATTCCAACACCAAGTACTTCCAAAATTATAACAATATTATGGTGATGAACACGGTTAGCGCAGAAAAATCCCCTTTTCATTAATTTCTATGTAAAAAGATGTGTTTGAGATGACTTAAAACAATATCAAAAATAACCATCATTGAGAAAATTATAAATAAATTCTCGTTTCGAATTTTCGCGTACTTCTTTATTCGTCTATATTTTATGTATGTACTTATGTAATTGTTAAAGAATCGAATTGTGGGGCGAGGTAAAAAGTGTTTGACTAAAAATAATAGAAGCATTAAGTTCTTTTTCCACCAAGTAGTTTGCCAACGACAGTTAGGACTGCGATACCAGAAGTAGCCAAATAGAGCGTACTAAAGGCAAAAATACCAAGAAGCCCACGTATTCACATATTTCTTGAGATTTATTTTCTGAATGCAATAAATCAACTTGCACATGTGTATTTATTTATATACATACATACATATTTCTTAACCATTAAATATTTGTAGATATTGTACACATTTAGGATTCAAGGCACAAATGGCATGGCCGGAATATATCGCAACGCCTTCACTGTAGCACTATTCGGATTGGCAAGATCCTTCATTATACCCTGTATGCGCGATACTACGTCGCTACGTTGCACATCACCGCGATCTATCATGCGCTTGAAAAGCGTATACAATTGGCGCTCCGCCGATGCGCTAGACAATTCATGTAGATCCATCAACAGCTGCTCGGAGTAACCCTCGTATTTGCTGAGGTTAGCCGCCTTAGCATCTCGTTTCAATAAATCGTAAACAAGTAAGAACTCCACATACGGTTTGGTGGGCGGCACGCGCTTTTTCCCCGCCGTCGACGTACTCGACCAACGATCCAACGCATTGTCGCTATCGAATGTGGCGCGACCGTAGTTGTCGTCGTAGAGGCGTAAGAAGTTGTCCAATGACTCAACGTCGTTGGTGAATTCATCGTGCTCTGTCTCCGTTTGTATGTCGCGTATCAGCGCCAGCGTTAACTTATCAAAACCCTCTGTATTGTCGCCAATCTCATCGAAAAGTTCATAGCCCATACGCTGCTTCGGTAGCGGCTTGATAAGCGGCGATATTAACGGTGCGAAAAGTCCGGGTTTGTGCGACGGCGTTGGCGGCTCCACAGGCTTGGCCGTAGTGGTGGTTGTGGTGGGATGCCACCAAACGGGTGGTTGCCACCAACCAGACGCAGGAGTACTCACGTTTGTTGGTGGTTTAGTAGTGGACACCGGAGCACTGGAGGACGTTGAAAGCCATGATGATGGTCGAGGTGTAGACAACACGCTGACGTTAGGAAGAGGCGTTGGCGTTGGCGTAGGTGAGGCATTGAAGACACTAGTCAATTCGTCATCACTCACACTGAACGGTGGTTCGACGGTGGTGGTCGATAGTGGCTCATATTGCAGATAGTCGATGTAGTAGGCGAGCGCTTGCATGGAAGCAGGCAAATAACTGGTCAGCAAATTGGGAGCTGCGCATATGCATGGCACAACAAAGGCGTAGTAGGTGGCAAAAAGCAAGCACAGCGTTTCACTGCAATATAGCTTTTGCAAAACCATGCTCAATGTAGTTCAATAGAATATTTTTTTCGTTTAATTTCGACAATTTTTTGTCATCTTTATTGGAAACTGCAATGATTCCTGCAACTTAAGAACTTAATATAGGCGTAATTTTGGGAAAAAAATCAAACTTAATACAGCGCGTCCGTAAAAGTCTTGTAGTCGAAAGCAGTTTAAGAAGTAGACTGAGCGCTGATCTTGCCCATTTGACGCACAAACGCAGGTAAAATGCGCCATTGACGACCTCTTCTGAGACAACTACTTGTATTGAGGTGCGCGTTAATACATTCATACACACACATATATTTATTTAGTAGTGTATTAATTTAGTGGAGGTTGGGTGCAGATGAGAAAGGCGAATTTTTGATAATTTTTTGTTTTTTTTTTGTTTTTTTTCTGTGCTGTTTCTCTTAGAAAGTACACAAAGGCCACTACAATCAGCTTATTAACTGACCAAACCAGTTTTGTTGATTTTTAAAAGTTCATTCAAAGGTTGGCGTTGAAAAGGGTTCGGTTGGTTTCTTTACAGTTATGAAAAATTTGTCTGAAAACATTCAAAAGTATTTCAATTTTTTTCAATTACGATATTTACATACATAAAGTAAAATAAAAAGTTAATGGATATATTTAAATTTTCAATCACATTAAAATGAGCGAATAAAGGACCGACCATAAGAACGCAAGTATGATTGAATAAATAAATTTCAACTACAACAAAATCGTATTACATACTATGTACATACTTTAAACGAGCAATTCTTGTGTATACATTAGGGTGGTCCTTAAATGCAGGAAGCAAATTATTACATCAAATTTCCTAATCCTTAAGCCCTACGTCGATGCTACTATAGTCAAAGATATCACATATAATAAATATTGGTCCCCATTGGAGACGGTTAAGGCGTGTCGCACAGGGGGCAAAAGTTCAGATTCCTCTATGGAGACTCAAAAAATTTAAATTATTATTTTTTTTTCATCTAATACCCAAAATCGATACTGCCACAGTTGAAGATGTCACATATAAATTTCTTCCCGATTGAAGTGATATCTTTGATTATGGTAGTATCGATTTTTGGTATTCCGGGGGCGTATTCTTGTATTCGTATGAATCGAAAATCATGAAATTTTCCATTTTTTGCATTTTTGTAGTGTGCGTGCAATTGATGTCACTGTGTGCGTGCGAACAAGTCCCCTGAGGGAAAGATTGGTCCAATTGCTCGAAAAATATAGTCGTAGGTATAGTAGTTTTGTAACTAGACCAACGATAGTCCCCAAACATTTAATATGAATATGACGCGCAGTCGCCCGCCGGGCAGACGCTGTCCAGCTGTGCTATAGAGGCATCTGTATTTTGCCGCGTGAGCGACATGCCTTAACCGTGAGACTGAAAAAAATCGTTGATTTGATTTTTAATGACCACCCTAATATACATACACTTGGAGTGCAATGTTACAGTGGGACCGCTATAATCAATCCCGACTCTTGTGTCCACGTTCGCGCACTCTGGGTGACGTGAGCAACACATGTGCGAGATGCGGTAACCAATTTGAGTGGAGCCTTGGGCCGGTGTGGCCACTCCGACTTATTTGGTTTAATGGCTTACTGAAGTCTATTCACCAGTAGGTGGGACTGCAAGCAGGCGTCTGTATTCGCTATATAAACGTGTATTTGGTTTAGAAGCCACCCCCCGCTGCAATGGGTTGTGCGCTGGGCTTGCGACCCTTATCGTAAAATCAAAGAAACGTGCTTCTATCCAACTACTGGATGTCATAGGAAAATACCCAGGCTGACAACACCGCAGTTCAGGCAATGCGATGGACGGGGCATGACAGCAAAAAATTTGCAGCATGTGAGATCCACTACAGCAGTCATGAGACGGCGCCCATACAAATATACCCTGCAGAAATGACGAAACGCGCGATAATTGAGCGATACCCGGGAAAACGGAGGAAAGAGAAACGCCTTTTCAAGAGAAAGAAAAGAGAAGCAGCAGAAAGGCGTGAGTGCGAAGAGCTTGAGATGATAGCCGACAGGAATACGGCCTAAAAATTCTACCAGGCAGCAAGCAAATGGTTTTAAGACCGCTGCCAGCTCCAGCGAGGATAAGATGGAAATCTGGTAACAGATGTCCAGAGTACACTTGAGATATGGAAGGAGCACTCTCAACGCTTATGAATGGTGACACAGGCAACGCGTTTGAGGAAGGAGAACCCGAACCAATGTATAGGGACGAAGCTCTACTCGACCAAGACGAGGTGAGAGAAGCAATAAGGCCACTTAATAACAGCAAGGCGTACAAGGTTCCGTCTACGATACTATGTGACCGCATGAAGCCCTTCATGAATAGGGCTGCCAGATGTCCCAGTTTTCCCGGACATGTCCCGGTTTAGAATTACTTATAAATACCGTGCCGTACAAAATTTTTGGCTCGGAGACTCTTTCATCTGATCACACTTTCTAATCAGATCTTTCAGAAAAATATTGAAAATGTAGCTTTTGAGCCAATTAGTAAAGTGCAAGTCTGAAGTTACCAGAAAATTTCGTTGATTTTTTTGCAATTATTTATTTTTTGCTGACAGTGTCTTCCACATACAAAAAAATGTCGAACATAGTTCGTATAGAAGAAACTCTCAATAAAACAATACCAAAAATCAACTAGGTTTTTATGGGCTGCAAAACTTCATTTTCAAAATTAAAAAAAAAGTCTGAATAGAAAGTTGCGAATTTGTATGCAAATTTATTGCATTTTCCAGAGTTTTGCACAAAGTTTAGAAATTTTATTTTTATGTTTTCTGATGTATTTAGTATAAACTGTATTTTTATAAGGAACAAAAAAGGTAGATGCATTGTGAAAAATTCTCTATGCTTTAGTTGTGATAAATTGTTTTGTTTTGCTGGTGTACGTTGTAATGATCTCATGATTTCATGTTTTTATGTTTTTGTTTTTGTTTGTCAAAATAAAATTTTACTACATCCTTTCGTACGTAATTTTTGTCGAAACGAAAGGGAAGGGAGCGTGAGGCCTAAATTAATTTTAATCTCTTCAATAACTTCAATGCCTTCCCGTAGAGAAAAGCCATTTGTTTTAAATTTTTGTATCCAAACAGAAATGCAAGTGAAGTTACGGTTTAATAAAAACCAAATCTGTTTTTATGTTATTATTTGTAAACCTTTCTTTAGTTCGACAAAAAATAAACACTCAAGACATTATCAAGAAAAATTTTTTGAGCCAAACTTTCTTATGCACTACGAAGTTCTTAAGAAATTTCTGCTATGGTTTGCTAAAGTTTGGTTGTGAAGAGTACAAGGCACCTTTGTTTTCAACAAAAATATATCGTCGGTGATACTTGAAAACGTTGTATGTCACTTATTACCTCTGATGCTTTATTGATCTTTTATCTGTATTTGATCGTATCTGGCAAAAGTTAATTTTCATTACCCAAAGGTAGATAGTTTTGTCACTCGTTTATTAGGGTGTAACGATTTGCAGATGCATTCCGGTGCAAGTAAGAGACCATTTAAGTGTCAAAAGTAGACCGTTTTGCGGTATCGCCGACGATATGCCCGGTTCCATTATTTAGGAAGGAAAAAGTGAGACAACAGCACACATACGAAATAATAGCAATTTATTTCTTGTCCGTACTTAGCTTTATACTACCCTATACTGGTTAACACTAACACTTTAGTTTAGATTCTACCAAACTTAACTAAAAGAACTCAGTATGGATATTTTCGATAAGGGTTGCCACGTTTTTTTTGTTTTTTTTTTGTAATACAAATTTGTATCTTATTAATTTCAACGAACATTTATATGTTTATATGTACATACATACCTATTTATAAATTAAAGCCATCTAAATTACATTTGATCTCTTATTTGATTTTTAAAAACAGGGACCGAAAATAGCCATTAAATACCAAGATATATATTTTTAGATCCTTGCAAGATCATTATTTTTTATTGAAATTTTTTCGATAAAAAATAAACCTTAAATTTTCATTTTATTTTTTCGGTCAAATGTAATCGAAGTTTGTGATGTTTAATTTTATGATGAAAAATAATCGTTTTTTTTTTCAAATTTTTTTCAATCATTAACAAAATAACCTTAAATTTTCATTTTATTTTTAAGGTCAAATGTAGTCGAAGTTTGTGATGTTTAATTTTATGATGAAAAATAATCGTTTTTTTTTCTAATTTTTTTCAATCATCTTGGCCGTAACGCTCGTATATTAAAAAAAAAAAATCCGTGTCGCAGTATCTCTCTTAAAAAATAAAAGCATTTTTTACAGTACAGTATTTTTTATAGTTTTTCGATTAAATACAAAAAAAAAAAATAATATACGATCTAACAAAAGCCATGTAAGTCCAAATTTCTAACTTTGTACAGCAATTAGACAATTACACTCGGGGGTTTGCCATTGCCTGCGGATGAGCGACTGCTATTAGAAAAAAACTTTTTTTTCTGATGTTGGGTTGAACCGGCTTGAACCCAGGACCTGTGGAATGGTAGTGCGCCCTACTGCTAACCACTACACCACAGCGGCCACCAGATCGGAAATATAGAAATCCAATTTTAATGGTTAAATTATGGTTTTTAATAAAAATATCATAGCCGTAGCGGTGTTTGCCCTCCGAGCAAAGCTCGGTCACTCAGGTATTAAAAATTGACAAAACAATAAATTTCCAAAACAACAATAGCGTAATTCATGAAAATATGGTTCATTCTATAATAGGTTTGTTCCACAAGCTACTTGTAGAAAAACTCGAGCAAAGTTCAAACTGTCAGTGTATATCAAATAAACTCTAAAACTTACGTGTGGAACGCATATGTGTAACTCGAAGTGACTTTGAGTAGCTTGTGGAACAAACCTAATGTGCCCCATATTGATCAAAGTTTCCCACTTTATATAAAGTTCAAAAAAATTCAAAACATTAGTCATTTTTTTTATTCAAAATTTCTAGAAAATTTTTGAGTATGTAGTTTTTTATAGGCCATACAATTTTACTCTAATGAAGTGCAAGTTTCAAAAGGCTAAAAACCGTGTTGGTCTTTGAGCATTTTTTTTAGACTGCCTTTGCAATTTACAAAAACTGGCGTTGAATTTTTTAAATTTTGTTGGGGATTTGCTAAAATTTATGGGCTATAAAACTGCTTACTCAAAACTTTTCTAGAAATTCTGCATAAAAAGTTTAAAATTTTGATGAAAATTTTAGCATTTTCTTTAACTTTATATAAAGTGTGAAATTTTGATCTAT